GCCCCGTCCCAAAATTACTTCTATGGAAGGTTTCCAGATGGATATGCGGAGCAAATCCATCTAGCGGAGTCAGGTTACGAAAGCGGGACAAGACCTGTGGATTTTGCACTCCTTACTATCAGGACCCAGGCTTGGCTCCGTTACTGCCTGACAGTAAATTATCAAACATGTCTTCACCACTTTGCAACTCCTGCTCTGCAAGGATTTCGAGAGGAGGAAAGAAGACCCTCGGGGTCCAACACAACAAACCTTATAACACACCTGAAAAATCATCATCGTGGCGAAGCGACATGGAAAGAATATGAAGCAGCCGCGGCAGCAGCCGGAGGTGCTAAGGCTAAAACGACAACAACAACACGGACCGCAGATGTATCCATTCAGAAGGCATTTGAAAACTGCAAAAACTTTCCAAGAGACAGCGAAAAAGCTAAAGCTATTAATGAGAAAGTGATGGAATTTATAGTGCTCGACAACCAGCCCTTTTCTGTCGTTGAGAACCCGGGTTTTCGTAACTTAATAGCACTTTTGGAGCCGCGTTACACCATCCCAAGCCGTCGCTTCTTCTCTGACGTCACCCTGCCTACCCTCAATGATGCCGTCGCCACATATTTGAGGATGCACTTTTATTTACTTTATTTAATTTGTTGAACTAAGGCTGACATGCATATGTGTGTCTGAACATTTTTAAGAAGTTGGCATTTTTTCTTTCACCTTAGCTGTAGTTTGAGGGTACACTTTATTTTTTGATAAACTTTTTGTAACTCAGACTTATGGACATGGAGGGAAATAATAAACTTTTGCGAGATCCCGCAATACTTTTGCGAGATCCCGCAACACTTTTGCAGAATATCGCAGTAGTTTTGCGAGATCTTGCAAAAGTATTGCGAGATCTCGCAAAAGTATTGCAGGATCTCGCAAAAGTTTATTTTTTGCGAGATCCCGCAATACTTTTGCAGGATCTCGCAACAGTTTTGCGAGATCTTGCAAAAGTATTGCGAGATCTTGCAAAAGTATTGCGGGATCTCGCAAAAGTATTGCGGGATCTCACAAAAGTATTGCAAGATCCTGCAAAAGTATTGCGGGATCTCACAAAAGGTAATTTTTTTGCGAGATCTCGCAATACTTTTGCAAGATCTCGCAAAACTATTGCGGGATCTCGCAAAAGTTATTTTTTCCCCCTCCATGTCGCTTTAGGGGCTCCGTACAGACTGACTATGTAAATGCATCTAATTTAATATTTGGTATAAATATTTGACTTCACAAATACCTATGCAGGCATGGATCTGTTCAGTTGAGATGCTCTTTGTATTGTGAATTGATTTGTTTCTTATGTTATGTAAAGCGAATTAAGACTTTTTGTGTGATAGCATAAAAAAAATAAACATTTGAAGAACCAAAACCTTTTGTTTGCTGTTATAGATAAGCCAGAGCTACTAAATAATTGTTTTTCATAACTGCATCCAGCATAAGCAGCTGATTAAGCAAAAACTATATTCAATATGAACTTATCGGTATCGACCATGAAAAGCAGAAAATTATCGGTTGAAATTTTTATTATCGTACATCACTAGATAGATGTATAGACTATAATGTTTTCATCATTCACCCAATAGTGCCTCTTGTTTCACAGAGTAGCACAATTCAACACACCGAAGTTTCAGCTAGAATAAACAAACGTACCTCCTGGCATCGTCATCCTGACCTCGCCCTCTCTGCGTTCGAACCCACTGCTCCAGCTGCTGCATGGAGCTGGTTCTGCTCAGGTTGCGTTCAGGCTCGCTGATGGGACTCTGCTGGACAGGGACCCCCGTCCCATTAGCTTTACACGGCTCTCCTGATCCATTCACTTGGGGACTATGCAGCGTCCTCTCCGCCTCATTGGGAGTCGGGGGCGAGGTCACATTAGCTTTAACGGTCTCTGCCTGCGCGGGCTGTAGCTTAATACTGTTGATCTTTGTGAGGGGACGTTCACGCTCTGCCCCGTCCTTCTGGAAGCCGTAGCGCTCGGCGTCACGCTGTTTTCTTTGCTCTCCCTCAGCACCGGGGGTCACTGCGTTGCTTCGGTCACGGTCCACTTGAAGGTTACGTTCGTTGTTTTGGATTTCAGGCTGTGTGAGCGCTGGCTTGTGGTTTGCGACTTGACTGATTTCTCTTGGTCCGCTATCTTCCACTTTTAGCTTTTCCAACCTAAAAAAAGACATGAAGGAAGCAGTTAAATAATAAATGAAAAAATCCTTTCAACCTTTTGACCTGAAAGCAATAAAGCAACACACATCCAGTGATGGAAAGACAAATTTAGAAGAGTAGGATGTCAGCAATTGATTTTGACAAAACATACAGAAGGTTTGCTTTAATTATTTTAACAGATTCAACTTTTAAACTATAATTTTTTAGAGTGCACAATGTTTCCTCCAGCTGCCAGAGCGCCAGGATCAGATATCTCCAATAAAACCGTGTCTTCCGACACCCAGGCCTCTAATCCGCTTCTACCTGCCATCCTCCTCCCTCTAGAAAGACGTTTACTTTTCTATGCTCCCTAGAGATGCATTCAGAGGTAATAGGCTCCACACACTGCTTAGCCTGAGAGCTAGCCGAGGTCAGAACTTCAAAGCTTCACAGGTTTCTTGAGTGACACGGCTCAGTAGGTTACCAGCAACAGAGCTGAAGAAAAGACACTCTTTCAGAGTTTCCACTCAGACATTTTTAAATAGTAACACTAGTCACATAATGTCTTCTCCAGCTTCCTGTGACTCAGTTAACTACACAGAAAAAAAAAAATAGCTGGACCTTATGTGTCTGTGTTTATTCTAGTTGTGCTGTATAAACCGTAGAACATAAAACAGCGGTTAGTCCATGTTTCGACATATTCTTCACTTGGGAGTTTCATGTTTTGTCTCAAAACCTAAAGCGTTCAGAGAAAGAAAGAAAAAAAAAGGTAAATGAGAAAAGGGTCAGTAGTTGTTTTTAGTTAACAGAAGCTACTTTCTCTACAGATCCAATTAAATTAATTTGGGTATTGCTATAGATTCACAATTACGTTGAGGTTTGGACTTTGACTAGGCCATTTATATACATTCATCTGCTTTGATCTAAAATATTACATTATTGCTCTGCTGGAAGGTGAACTTTGACCCCAGTCACAAGTCTTCACGGGTTTCCTTCTGCGACTGGCCCCCATCGACTCCCTCCAGCTCCACTGTCCCTGCTGAGGAATTTCACCTCAATGTTTTACCCAGGGGAAGCTGTATTCATTATTAATAATCATCATTATGATCATTAATGTCAAATAGGGCAACTCTGATGATATTCTGCCTGATTTTCTTCCACATGTTTGCTGCTCTCTCTAAATCAGCGATCCCCAACCACCGCTGAGTCTGAGTCTGAGTGATGTTTTATTTTGAAAAATATAAAAAATTGCGGTATTCTCTCCCAATTACATCAGTCGGTGCATCTGTGCCTCTTGACACAGGTTAAGACTCATCCTATCTATAACATCCCATCTTTGTGAAGCAGGATTTTCTGCGGTTACAGCGACCAAAACTAAGCTACGGAGCAGACTGGACATCAGGAGCACACTTCGTCTGTCATTTTCTCCGATTACGCCTAGATGGGACCGGCTTGTTGTTTTATTTTTATGCTGTTTGTATTTGATTTTATGCCAGTCGTATCATTTTATCCGATGTATTCCAGCATCCAGCTGCCATGCACGTGGGCATTGTCAGTTTCACTATAGCTCTGGTGAATTTCAATGGTGAAGTACTCTGGAAATCTTCAATTGTTCAATTGTTGTTGATTGCAGATGTGTCCAGTTACGGAAGAGGATTAGGGCCACTGAAAAAAAAAAGTTGACTGATTTTTTAAATTTTATTTCAGTTTAGTATGGGAAAAAAGTCAGAATTCTGACTTTAATCTCAGAATTCTGACTTTTTTCTCAGAATACTGACTTTGTTATTGTCAGAATTTAGTCAGAATTCTGAGATTAAAGTCAGAATTCTGACTTTTTTCCCATACTATACTGAAATAAAATAATAAAAAAAAACTGTCAACTTTTTTTTTTCTCAGTGGCCCTAATCCTCTTCCGTAGTCTATTAGTTCCCATTGATTTAGCTTGTAAAGCGGGGCGAATGGCGCTAGGCTTACCGCATCGTGACGTCACTGCCGGAAGATGGCAGGAGGGAGGGGTTACTATATTTGGGCAAAAATGGCCGCTCCTGATTGCGTCGAAAAATATTGTTTTTCTTTTTTTTTTTTATAATTAATGCTAAATTCATAAAATCACCACAAATGCAGATAATGATCCATTTGTTATTCCATACTGACCAGACTTTTCCTTTAAGGGATTTTTTTTAGGCGTATCTGAGTAATAGGGAGGGTATAGATACTGTTGAAAGCGCTCTCTATCTGGCCAACCAACTAAAACTGTAAAGAAGCATCATTCAGATTAATATAAACAGAAGTTTTTCAGAAAATAAAAAAAAACGGTTCAAGCAAGTCAAAGAATGACCGACCAACCTCTCATCCCCTCAACCTTCTGCAACATCCATCAACAACCCAAAACCAGCATGCCCACATGCGGTTTGTGCTTTTGTTGTTTGTAGCATACTACAACAACAAATCCAACATGAGAGCAGCAGCTTCTAGAATCATCAAAAGGCGGTATTGAGCTGCTGCCAAAGATCTTCATTTTGATTTAACGAGGGGTTTATTAGTACTCTCTTCCAGCACAACAATCAGGGTGGAGAAACAAATGAAAGACAGAGAAGTCCTGAGTAAATATCTACTAAAACATCCCCTTAAACATCCGCTTCTTTTTCTGTTCCAAACTGCAGCAAAGTGCTGCTTAATAAGGCTCCTCCAAACCTTTTGGATGGCTCTGAATGCACGTTTGCGGCGTCCGTCATCACTTTCATCCACGACTCCATCTCTTTTCCGGTGTCAGTGCAAAAGTAGTACGTCCGCATGTTGGGATGTGTTGCCTGAGAGGATGAAGGATAGAGCTATTACCTGAAACAGAAAGATAAAAAAAATATTATAACAGTGACCATAGCTGTTATGCATGGTTTTCTTAAATAAGTAATATATTGAGGAAAGATATACGTGAAACTCCACTGGCTGTGACCATCTGTGCCATGCAGATAAATCAAATGCTTAAGTCACTAAAGTTTCACGCATACCGACGGATTAAGGCGGTAAATCTGCTTGCACTCACCATGCAGTTCATTGTGTAGAAAACATCCCGTTCTTCTGTTCCCTCGCAGCGAACAAACCAAGATATTGTGAGAATCCAAAACAGAGACACAGAGTATTTACTCAACAACCTCAATATCCTTTTTTCAAGAGTTTGTTGTTTCAGAAACAAAACAAAAAAAACACTATTGTTTGACTAATTCACCCCAAATATGCATAAAAAATGACAAAGTCGACAAAAAGCATTTAAATTTCTGACCAGAACAGACAGAGATCTAAGAATAAGAATGTAATCAACCAATCATGGAGGAGGTTGTGCCCTGTGCGCTATGGTTTTCCTGTTTTCTTAAAGTATCTCTGTTTTAGAGAGTAGAAGTTGGACGAGAAGAACTCTCTGTGGTTAGAGACCTTCGACTGACTCCTGAACGTCTGTGTTCAGCTGTTTTTGGACAGAGAAGCTTTGTTGTCTCGGAAGGTTTTATGAGGAACGGACCAATACTACATGCATCCCTAAAACTTAAAAAAACATCCTTAGGAAAACAACTTTTTGTTGTTTTTTTTATGATGGGGCTGCAGCCATTCAAGGACTGAGGAAACATTTTAAAACATATTTAACATAAAAAAACAATCCATATTTCTCCTTTAATCAGATAAAAAATAATGGTAAAGAAAGTTTTCCTGTCTCAAAGATTAAATGCTGAACGTAACATTTTCTAAAAATATATCAGTGATGAATGCAGTTCTTTTAGAAAACTAGCACACTTAGCTTCTTTAACACCTTTATTTTTTTATTTACCTATAGTAAATAAACTATGAAACACAAAGTTTAATTCTGAAAGTAAAGAAAAACAAAGACAAACCTTAAAAGCAAACTTTCTATTAATGTGATCATCTACAGACAGCAGGGATATCTGGAAGCTGGGCAGGAGGATGCTGCCAAGAATTCCCTCTTCCTTCTCATCTGGAGAGAAAAAACAAACAAAAAAACACAAGGTCAGAGGTCGTTTCCATAGCAGCTCGCTTTTCAGTTTAGTACCTTGTTCTTAACATTTTCATATACAGCTAAAAACTAATTTACTGTTAAAGATAACGCTTTTCAATTATTTCACTTTTCAATTCCCCCTTCAGCAAAAAGCCAACTCTTAAATTAGGAGCAGTTACATACAGGAAAAAAACGAGAATAATTGCTATTAACAAAATAAGAGTGAGACTATCATTAAATAAACTTCTGGTGTACGTTTTCTTACAATCTTTTTACCGAGAGAACACAATTTACACTCCAAACGTCACAAGTTTGGAGCATGTTAGGTCCTTTAGGGCCCTGGAGCAGCAAAACCGCACACGCTGCTGCATTTTTGATGCTTGTACAAGTTTAGTTCTGACATGCGGCTGAAGCATCTTTGCTGCTCTAGCTGCGCGGAGGAAAGTGGGTCTGATGCACATTGGGTGGAGCTACCCTATCCTTTCATTGCCTGGAACAATGGCGGATGAAATCGAGATTCGCTTGGCTTAATTTAATGAATAATGCTACGTTCAGATCGCAAGCACCGGAAGCAGCAAAAAAGCTTCTGCTGCTTCATTTTTGACGCTTGTCCACATTAAGGTCAGACGTCCTGTAAAGTGTGTCCAGATGCGTCTAATGCTTCAGCTGCTCCTGTGTTCGACGGCAGAGAGTGGCTTTGCTATATTTGCTGTGATCAGCGGGTAAAAAGTAGTTTTAATATGTTTTTAAGTGAGAAAGTCCATCTGAGTTCATCAAGATTCGGATCCTGCCTTCAAATATTATTTTGCCGTCAGACCCGCTCAGACCCCACATACCGGCGGTCTGAGCGGCTCTGACGTCGGTGCTCTGTCCCTGGAAATCATCACAGCCTCTGGCCCAGTCGCCACTTCGCGGTTTTCCGCTAGAAGGCGTTTTTCTCGTACATAATCTAAACAGCAGGCACCAGAATAATAAAATGGAACACATTTTCGTTAATTTAGGTGTTAATAAACTGTTTCAGAGGTGCGATCTGCATCAGCAGTGCTGTGTCTGTCTCGCTGCCAGCTCCCAGATCAGCTTCTCTGATTGGTTGATGTGGCGTGTCGAGCAGCAAAAGTTATATTTTTCCAACTCCAGCAGCTCTAGCAGGACCTTTTGCTTCGCATTGATGCGCGTCAACCTTTGACTTTGCATGTAAACTAGATGCTTCTGCTGCTTCTGCAGCATTTGGTCTGAACATAGCATTAGGATTTAGGTGTTAGAACTGAGATAGCCCTGGTTGATTATTTTACACCCTAAATTTTTGGTTAATCTGATTGATAATTTTGGAAAACTGTCTAGTATCAACTCAGTAATCACTCGGTTAAACCAGATTTGAACTGATTTAAAATCAGTTAAATCAAATAACTTATAAAGTCAGGCAATACAAGTTTCCCTGTCCCATTAGAAGATGAATAGGACAGTAAGATAGAAGAGCGTCCTCTAGGTTCTGATCTATAAATCTATATTTGTCTTGTGCTAGATCCACGTGAGAAACTGGCTTCCTAAACAGCCGATCTTAGTCTCATCTGACCAACATCCGAATTTCCAGAGAGAGAAAAGGTTTTTTCCTGGGCTGCCTCCCAAAGAACTGGTTGGGAAGGATGGCAAATGGTTGTAATGGAGACTTGGTGACTCCTTTTTCTAACCACAAGCCTTGGAGTCTGACTTTTCTCCCTAACCAACCCCTCCACTGTACATGGTGGCAAGAGAAACCTAGATAGGCAGTGAAAAAACTAATGGAGGTCTGTGCCAAATCACGTTTATACGGCAGGCTAATGTAGTAGATAATCATTGATTGTCTAATACTGAGCCCTAAAACTCTTAATAAAAGTCTAAAGTAAAGACAGGATATTTTAAAAGGCAAATCTGTGTCACATTACAGGCTGTGCTTCTGGTCATAATGAGATTTTAAATCCAGCAGTTATGCCAACCGCAGTGTCCCTGTCTGCAGGTCAACAGCTTTACAGACTTATCATTGAATCCAGCATCCGCCCTCCGACATGTTGGTTCAATGTTACGTATCAAGACTCCTCCTCAGATGCTTTTTAAAAGAAAAAAAGAAACAAAACATAGTGTTCACATAACCGCAGAGGTATGTGCAGAACAAGGGCAGTCTTGTGGGATTCCTGGGTAAACAATAATAATCTGAGCTGATAAGAGCAGAAGCAGCAAAGTTAAGGACCTCACTGCCTACTTTCTGCTGATTGATCCGTTTTCTCAACATTTCTATCTGGATAAAGTCTTTAGTCTCCTTCTGTTGGTGGCTTTTGAGAGGCAGTGGGCGGAAAGATGGTGGCAGGAATTACATTTCCTAGAAATGTCAGACTGGACGTAATCTTGATCAGACACATATTTGATGAAAGGTCACATTGAGGCCATTTAAAATGAAAACGAAAATAAAAAAAAACAAATAAATACATCCGACCCAGCTCCCTATACAAACCCAAACGTGACTAAATAAAAACTTCTGCTTGTGAAAAAAA